CCGCCGGCTTCCCATGCATTCCGGTGCTATTATGTTGGCATAGGTTACATCATGTGTCTACCCCCGCTATATATGAGAGGCCTAGGATACAAGTGTCCTATTAGGATACGACTCCACATCCTATGTAAACACAATATAAGTCCTAGTCCAACTGTAACCTACCTTGTACACAATATTCGATACAACTCTAACAAACTCCACCTTGGCGAATATTCTCCACCACCTTGAATTCGTCAATGCGTCAAACTTCCATGTACATTGGACTTGAGTTTATCCCGTAAGCACCGCTGCTACTCCAAAGACTCCATGTGACTCCACCTGCAACTTGCAGTCCCTTCTTTTCTTAACCACAGTCAACACTCGATCAAAATTAAGTTCCTTGTTACTCTAGTTTGTGCTCCCAACTTCCAGAGTATCAGTCCAACGACATCACACATTGATCACTGACCTGCGTGAAAAATGAACAACTCACATATTGGGTGTCACAATAAGAGTTACGTGAACTCAACATCACCGCTCCTTTCTTGACCGCCTGTCTGAAACTTGAAGGAATTTCACCGTTGCTTGTAGTCACCCCGAGTCAAATTCGCAGTTGTCTTACCACATGTATGACCACCAGAGCCCTGGCCCGTCTCCATGCCCCGTGCATACCGCACGCCTCGCCGCTATTACCGCGTCGAGCCTCCGCTGTCCCGGTCGAGTCTCAAGGGTCGCAAACCCACACCACTCAACCCCCACTGCAGAGTATCATCGATTATCACCGACCGATGACGAGTTTCATGCTTCCATCAAACAACTGGGCTCCAGTCCAAACTACGTGTCACTCGCTTTTCCCCAGGTGAATTAGGCTTCGATTCTCCGGATCCTTACACCATAGCCCCTCAATCCAGCTCCACCTTCAACATGACTCCATGGTAGATGATCAGTCCACCCTCGCGCCCCGTCGACTTCAAACTCCGTGTGTACACCACCTTGAATCAACCCCGCGCCATAGTCTTGTCGAAGTCACACAAGCCATCGGGCCTGCGCCACGTGTTTCCACGTCCAGAAGTCGGTCACCATCAGCTTCACGCTCCTATGTCGTCGTCGCCGATCCCACCACCATATTCTGTACCAACCGACTCGCGTCGATCCGTCAGACTGACAAGTCTGACCTAGCCGAACTTCCCTGACTGCAACCATCTGCAACTCCTCACAATCCTCATCGTTCGCCTGGCTTGACATCCAGCAACGCCTTCAAGCATCACTACAGTGCCAACAAATTTTTTATCCTTGTCTGCCATAACCCAAGGTTCTCAGTTCCGTTAAACTTCTCCATCTCAAACCCGATGTCCGATGGCGTCATGATTCTTTGTATGACTGACGTTGTGAATTTTTTTTGAGCTTTGCACGCGATGCCCAAGTACACGAACAGAACCTCCGCGTACCACTAGCAATTCCAACTAGCTGGTCTTCAAGTGAATTTGGCTCCTGTCTCTGGCTCAACTTCGGATGCTAGCCTTTGTCATGTCACAACCTTTAGCTAAATACCAATGGATGAACAACACGATGGGTAGTTTCCTTCGCTTGAGTTGATCTGCCCTGTGCCTCTCCGTGTCGGTACATGAGGACTCGGGTCCTCTTTTTCTTGGCCACTGCTACGCGTCATCCGGATGATATTTGCTGAATTTAGGCCGCCTAGCCAGCCTTGCGATCCAGCCTATCGAACGGTCCCAGCTTCCCCGCTGCAGTACTGCCCCGCTGACGGACGCATCACGTGAGATGGGCTGGGTTGGGCCACACGTTTTTTGCACTCACACACATACGTCAACTCTGCATGGCAATACATCCAAAAGAAAAGAACGTACACAGGTGACCATCCAATGGTGGTCTAGTTGTTGTGGGCGTAGTGTGTGAGCGTGAGCAGTGCTGGGACGCTGGACGGCGGCAGCCCGACTGCTTCGATAGCGGCAGCGATCCTACGAGGCATGCTGCGACGAAAGCCTGTCCGCTTCAACGATGTTCCAACAACATGCTTCGACGGTCACCGCGATGGCGCGAGGGCACAACATGCTTCGACGGTCGCCGCGATGGCGCGAGGGCGTGCTTCGGTGGCCGTGGTGATGCTGCAATATCACCCCGGCTGCTTCGAGGATGTTGCGACGACACGCTTTGATGGCCGCGGTGTGCATCGACGGATGCGGCGATGTTACGACGACAACTTGTCTGCTTTAAGGATGTTGCGACATCATGCTTCGACGGCCACGACGGGTGCTTCGATAGCCACGGCGATGCTACATTGGCAACATGTTTGCTTCAAGGATGTTGCGAGAGCAGGCTTCGACGGCCATAGCGGGTGCTTTGGTAGCTGCGGCGATGCTACAAAGGCAACACGTCAGTTTCAAGGATGTTGCGACGGTATTCCTCGAAGGCCATGATGGGTGCTTCGGTAGCTACGGCGATGCTACGAAGGCAACACGTCTGTTTCAAGGATGTTGCGACGGTATTCCTCGAAGGCCATGATGGGTGCTTCGGTAGCTACGGCGATGCTACGAAGGCAACACGTCTGTTTCAAGGATGTTGCGACGGTATTCCTCGAAGGCCACGACGAGTGCTTCGATAGCTGTGGTGATGCTATGACTGCAACCCGGCTGCTTCAAGGATGTTGTGACAACATGCTTTGACGGTCACAATGAGTGCTTCGGTAGCTGCGGTGATGCTACGACGGCAACCCGGCTGCTTCGATGATGTTGCGATGGCGTGCTTCAACAGTTGTGGCAATGATGCGACGAACCGCAACGACGACGTGCTTCGAACGATCACGGTGGTGCTGCGACGGCGTGCTTCGATGACCACAACGATAATCCAACAAAGGCCCGACTACTTCGACGATGCTGCGACGGCGTGCTTCCGTACCGTGGCTACGAAGACGGCATGGCTGTTTTGACGATGCTACGATGGTAGCTCGGCTGCTCCGATGATGATGCAATGATATCTATGCTACTGCGGCAGCAGCGGCGGCATAAGGATACTACCCTTTTTTTTTGCGAAATTAAGGATACTACCCTAAGCATTGCTATATCCAAGCAACCATGACACCATGAGCTTGCTAGGATAAAATCCAACAAATACCCACATTCAACATCAAGAATATGATGCTATGGAATCTTTGTTTGCTGCTTGCTAAGTGCTTTCTATTAAGATTATTTATAGCATCACATACATGCATAGCTACATGCCTAAACACTGCGTGAGAAAGTACAAGTAGAATGGACTGTTAGACAGTCACGGAACGCAACCACGGCAAAAAGAAAAGAAAAAAGGTCAGGCGCGCGTCTAGCTACTACGAGGGCTACGCGGTCACGTAGGTGGGCTGACTTTGCATGCTTCTAGAAAGAGGCTTCGGCGCCACAGCGATCGAACGGCCCCGGAGGCGGCTGATCAAACCAACAAATCATCCGCCTGTTTTTAAACATTTCCCCTTTTTCTTCCAAAACAAATCTCACTTTCAGCGACGCCTCCACCTTGCGGCTACACAAAGGGCATAGCCCCACCAAGCACGCACATAGCCAGCCGCACTTGGGCCAGCCTTCCACGCACTAGGCATGCCCACAATCCGTCTCGGCTTCTGCTCCCTGCAACCAGCGCCCGACTTGACCTGCCGCGCCTCGATCCATGCCAGATCGGCCGCCGCCGCCGCTGAGATCCAATCCGCTCGCCCCGCTAATTGCTTTCCCGATTTCGCCGAGAACGCACTAGACGACCTCCGCGGAACATCACTTCCGCACATCATCTTTGTCCCGAAACTTGACGACGACCCATCCTACAGATCAACAATCCGCAGCCTCTGAATAACCTAGCTCATGATACCACTTGTTAGAATAAATTCGAGGCATACCGTTGATTATCCGAGGACCAAGCAATCACACGAGGCACGGCATCAAGATTTGTTAACGAGGTTCACCGATATGGCTACATCCCCGAGGCATGACTATGGGCGTTCCTTCCTATGATACCGTCACAATACCGCACCCGGTCGCCCTGGACACTGGCACATGCCGCCGGCTTCCCCTGCGTTCCGGTGCTATTATGTTGGCATAGGTTACATCGTGTGTCTACCCCCGCTATATATGAAAAGCCTAGGATACAAGTGTCCTATTAGGACACGACTTCACATCCTATGTAAACACAATACAACTCCTAATCCAATTGTAACCTACCTTGTACACAATATTCGACACAACTCTAACAGGTCCTACTCAGAGAGGCGAGGAGGCGACAGCTCTCTGAAGATGGAATAAGGTTCTCCTCGCCTAGTCCCCGTTCCGGTGGTGTTTCCAGCATCGTTGGAGGGCATGTGGAGGTTTGTATCCGGCGGAACTCACGAGATTCGGTCGGTGTTTGTTTTTAGTGGATCCACGTGGATCATGTCTTTGTTCGTCTATTTTCGTATGTCTATAGATTGGATCATTTCGATCTACGCCTCTCTTTATCGGCGACGGTTGTTGTTCTGGTGCGTTGGTCCCACGCGGCCTTAGCACGGTGATTTCCAATTGTCTACCGCAACAAGGTTTGCCAGGCTCCGATGAGGGAAGACGTCGGCGCACCTTCGACTCGCTCTAGTGCTTATAGTCACCGCTAGATGGTTTATGGAGCTGGATTTTTTTTTGGTGTTCTTTGTACTACCTTGACAGTTGATAAATAGATCGGAAGTTTTCCTCGCAAAAAAAATATGATGCATGGTGATATTTTTAATTTTTTTTGCATGGATATTTTCTGGTTGAACTCATAATTCTTCTTTTTTAAAGTACGTGGTACATACATAGAGGAACATAGTGCACTTTGCTATCATATTTTTAGCAACCTGTGCCCGTTTTCATTCAGTTCGGCATTCGTAACTAGAGTATGAGGAAGTAACGAACAAGATGGAATTCATAGGACACCGGAAAAAAAAAAGATGGAATTCATAGACACACGAGCAGAAAGCTACGGGTTTGCACATTTGCATTGTGCGCCTTGTGTCACCCATCGATGCGCCGGCGCCCCGGCGGGTCGGGGAACCTGCGCACCGCGGCCATAGGCGACACATCCACTGCCCTGCGGCTCACGCACCCCGTTAGTAGCCCAACCGGCCGGTCCCGGTTCTGCCTCACAGCCACCGGGGGCCTCCCGCGGCCGCCACTGCGCTCCGGCGCGGCGGACATGTCCACGGCGCTCGCGGTCACCACGCTCCACTGGATGCTCGCCTCGCTTGGCTCGTACGGGCAGTCGCCGATCATGAGGCTCTTGATCTCGAACAGGTCCGAGCTCGACTCGCTCCCGCCATCGTCGTCGTCGTCGTCGCCTCCGCCGCAGCTGACTTTGACCGGAGCCTGAAGAGTGAAGCTTCCTTTCCTAAAGCTCGCGCTCGAGTACTCGACCGCCTTCTCCTCCCTCCCTACTGTTGCCACTTGTGAAGCGCCGAGATTCAAATTTGGCGGGAGGCCAGCCACCACACCACGGTGGCTGCCGCCGGCTAGCCCGAGGCCAGCCTTCTGCATCCTCAGGTCTCTATACCACTCGACCCCGCTCGCCGCCAGCTTGCTCGATTCTGTCGTCTCCGTCGCCGGGCCGCCGTTAACGCGCACGGCCCGCTTCCCGGAGCACGGACGCAGGAGCGCCCCGACCTGCAGGCAGCACTTCTTGCTGCTGTATCCCGGGTGGCTGCGCGCGTCCCGGAGGAGCACGGTCTGGCTGTTGGCAGTGGCCGCCGAGCCAGCGCTCGCCGCCGACGCGCACGTCGACGTCGGCTTGCTCGCCGGCACAGCTGGCCTCGACACCGTGGCCACAGTCTCCACAGGCGTGGCGGAGCCCTCCTTGCTGTCGCCGTCCATTGCACCCTTGAAGTAACGCTCAGCCGAGAACACGTCGAGCTCGCCGTCAGCGTAAGTGCGCCGCCGGCTCGGCGTGCTCTTCGGCGGCACTGGCGCCCTTGCCGGGCCGGTGGCCATGCCCTCCCTGATGAGATCCGGGTAGGCCGGTAAGGTGCTGTTCCGGCGCCGCCCGAACAGCTCCTGCTCATAACTGACCTTCAAATCACCATTTCTTGTGTGCTCCATGGTGCAATCAAATGCACAACTAGACAACTGGTGCTGCTACTGCTGCTAGTATTATCAAGTTTTCATGTATCTCAAACACACAGAAACGGTGTGAAATAGCCACACTTATATAGGCAACACAACATGATTGGAACACGATCCTGGTAAAAAGTAAATGAGAATGATTCGGTTAATCCATCAAAAAAGAAGCTTGTTGCTAATCTGTCCCTGTGAAGCAACAGTGGGGACAACAGGGAGGAGATAATGAGGCTGTGAACTGGTTGAGAAGCAGAATGATTGGACCGTATGTTTTCGCAACATTTCTTGGGGATGCATGCAATTTTGTGATGGAGGTGGTGGTTGGTGCCTCCACGTCCGCAAGTCACAGGATCTCCAGGAATTCTGATGGATCTCTTGCTAACGTTAACACTCCCGTTGAAACTGTTTTGCAGTGCAAAAGCAGACACTGACATGCCTGAAGGAACAGGGAACACAGGCAGTTTCTTGATCATTACATTACATGTAAGACACACCGGAAATTTGGGGGGAACAATGACGCCTGTCTGCATGTAAGACATGAAATTGAGATGATAAGGTTGTTGTGTGCAACTGTGGACACATACAGGATTTTCTTTTCTTCTCTTTTTCTTTGTGTGTTGACTGACAGGTAAGGAGGCAAGGAAACACAAAGTACTATCTGGAATGGACTGTTGTGCACCAGTTCAGTACTTCATTTTTAAGCTTTTTCACGGAACTAGTTGAATGCCCTTCGCGTAAAAGTTCTTTTTATCGCTACTAGTAGTAAGTACTGTAAAGAAAGGACATCCGTGTCGCCCCCCGCAGGCGACCCAGGCGAAACCCTAGCCACCGGGCCGCCACCCCTCCCCTTCCCTCCTCCCCCCTCGCCGCCCCCGGCAGGCGCCGCCAGGCAAAGCCCGCGCGGTGTCGGCGGCAACGGGGCACTTCTTCCCTCTCGTGAGGCCTTGGTTGCGCGGGGCGGCCTGGCTAAGGAGAGGCGTGGGGGCTGCAACGTGAGCTGGCGCCGACCGGCGCGACGGGTTTGGCGCTGCGGTTGCGTGCGCTGGTGCTTGCCGATGGACGAGGGCAGGCAAAGGCCGATTGGCGCGGCGGCGAGATGTTGGCGGCTCGTCGAGACGGCATGTCTGCGTGGCGCCCAGGCGCTGCTCCCGACGTGGCTCGGCAGCGCGCGGGGCGCGGGATGAGCACCGTCGACGCCGCCAACGCGGATCTGCTGGGTGGCCGACGACGGTGCGCGAGGAGGTTGGGCGACACGGCGGTGAGGGGCTCCAAGCCCGATCTGAGTTTGGGCGGTCCCGCGCCCAGATCTCGATGGCCGGTGGTGCCTGGATAGGGGAGGCGTGTGCGGTGGTGCCGGTGGATGCTGGTGGGTTCCCCCTTGCAAGTGTGTGCACGTCCAGCTCCTGGAACAGGGGCGCCGTCCAGCCTGTTGGTGCTAGAGGAAGCCCGGGTAGACCAGATCCAGCTCGAAGGTCCGGTCCTTGCGCGGCGGTGCGAGCACGTTAGTTTTGTCTTGGTTTTTGCTCTGTTTCGGCGCGCGGCGGTGCGGGCCGGTCAACTATGGTTCTACTTCGGTCTCTCCTGTGCGCTGCTGTGCAAATTCTCGCCCAGATCTGCGCACGGAGCCGGAGGATGGCCGGAGTCGATTTGGTTCGCCCAGGTCCTGCGAGCGGCGGGGCGGACCGGTCAGGTTGACGTGTGCTCGCCTAGGTTCTGCGTGCGGCGGTGACTATCCCGTGTCTGGTAGTGTGTGCTTGGCCTTGTTCTGCCTGGTGGTGCCGGGTTGGTCTCGGATCCTAGATGGTTGGTGGAAGGCGTGGCTCCAGATGAAAATCTTGCATCGACCTCGTCGGTGCAGACGGTAACGGCATCTATGGATGTCGTATTCTTTCTTGGAGGTGCCGCCGTGGAGCTCATTGCTCTTCCTGCCTCATGGCTGAGGTCTCCGGGTGAAAACCTAAGATCTGAGAAGCCAGATCGGATGACGGTGGTGTTCTCGATACCACTTCCTTCTTGGAGGCATCATCTTGGAGGCCTCGACGATGGATTCCGATGATGTGCACGGTTGCTGGTGGATATTGGGTTTGTGTTGGTGCCGGCGGGTTTCTGTTTTCTTTCTTTTCTTTCTGCACTAGCCCTTTTGCGGTGCTTTCCTCCTTTGGAGGTGTTCTTGTTACTTCTCTTCTGATCAATAAATTTGGCAGTCCTCCTGCCAACGTTCTAAAAAAAGTTCTTTCTTTGCATAACAATATGCATTTAAATCTAATGCTTAGAGAACTTGATTTTCTAGGAATAAAATAATTATAGTCGATATTTTACATCGGTTTGCTATTTTGCAACAAAAGTTTTAAATAATGGGGTATGTCATTTAGCGGCCGCTTGCTGGAAGCTACGAAAAGTTTTCTCGAATACGGATGCTATAAAAAGTTATCGTGAAGCTAAGACTCATTTATCGTTTTCGGTTGAATCATGAAAACAATAAGCATATGTCATATATGCATATACTTGACAATTAATATGCATGCATATATCACATATACTCCCTCCGTTCCTAAATATTTGTCTTTTTTAGAGATTTCAACATATGACTACATACGAAGCAAAATGAATGAATCTACACTCTAAAATATATCTACATACATCCGTATGTTGTAGTCCATTTGAAATGTCCAGAAAGACAAATATTTAGAAACGGAGGGAGTACTTGACAAGCAATATGCATGCATATATCACATATACTTGGCATGGGGCCATAGCAATGCAAAGCTTGGATCCAGCCATGACAAAGGCATATCAGCAAAGCATCCAACCATCGCAAAGCAAATCTTGGCATAGCTTTAGCGTGTCGCTAAACTGACACACAAATTTAGCACTAAACACGCCATAGCCTGCTATTAGCCACAAAATCCATTTAGTGCAAAACACACATAGTTTTAGCATGATGTCATTCCAAATGCTATAGCGGTGCTATAGCTCACTATTTGAAATTTTGATCACAACTGGATTTCATTCAGTTTGCTCATCGTTTGACCTCACGGATAACTTGGGCCTCTCATAGCGACTGATCTCATAGTTCGTTAGCAACTTAGCATAGTGCATTATACTACTTTAATTACTACACCTCTTGTATAGTATCATATCCTAGTATCATAGCGCATGGTACTGCTTTATTTATTCATATGTACAATCTCATTCTGACATTATGTCACACATCTACTTTCCATTAAATTGCCTCGTTTGGTGAGCTATGATAAGTATCATACCAAGATACTGGTATCTTCCCTTTTTATTTAACCACTGTCAATCGAGGGGAAGTGGATTTTCTCATTCGTCTCTGTCGCGCTCCCTCCAGTAGTTAGTTTTGTCTTTCTTCTTTAACTACTATCGAGGCCATGACAAATTCAATGTCTTCAAAGGTGCATGTCCCCCTCCATAGTTAGTTTCTCCTTCGAAGATGATGGATAAGTCAATCAGTCTTACAGGTCCATGGGGGCCTCGAACAATCCCCTAAAACAGTCTGGAGACGGGCATGATGTCATCTGACAGTATTAACATCTTCTCTAGGGTCTTCGTGGTGATGATGATGAATGAGCCTCCACCATCGATGGGAACTTGGTGCTTCTGCACCATGTTAATCACCGGATCCCCTGCCAATAGGGGGTAATGGCCAATGTGCTTGATCCCCCAAGCAGATCCTATAATCGAAGCATATGGGGGTCTCGGCCCAATGGGGTCACGATGGCTCCTCCTGAGCAAGTTGCGCCCTCCTAGCGGCAACATTCATG